CTGGGCCAAAGGAATAAGGAATGTCCCATACCGCATCCGTGTACGGTTGTCCAGAAAACGTAATGAGGATGAAGATTCCCCAAACAAGCTGTATACACTGGTTACCTATGTACCTGTCACCACTTTCAAAAATCTACAGACCGTCAATGTGGATGAAAACTAATAGCTGATTGTCAAATAAAGTTATAAAACTGTCAAAAAAAATTCTTATTTGTTCTCAAGGTTGGGCAGCCTAGAAATAATTAAAGCAAAGTGAGAAAATGTTTTTATTTGTCTAAGAAGGAGATGAAGGAAGAAGGACTGACATGTAAGGGAAAATCCTGAGGAAAACAGGTCTGGTAACTCCCATTTTTAACAAAATTATTTCCTAACTCCTCAGCAATCTAAATCACCTTATAATTCTTCAAAACCTTTAAGGTGTACGGTTTCTCTTCCACCTGCCTATCCAATTAACTCTATAATCAACCTTCGTTTCACCTGCTTCTCACACTAATTCCTCGCTACTTAACAGCGTTTCGTTTCTACTTCTTCGCTCGGGCGTCCCTTCTTACCCTCACCTCCAATCTCCATCCCTTCCCGAATCCTCAACTCAGTCTTCTAGAAAACAGCCTACATCTCAGCTGAACCCAGCCTTTGCTCACACTCCCCAGGCTGTTGGGAAATCCTTGCTACTCGGAAGCCCAGCCACCCTCTTACCCCCAACCCTGCGGACACCTCCAGCTACAGGTGACCTTTTAAGTCTCGCTCTTAGTCCGTCCGCACAGTCGTCACTAACCCCCTCCTCACGCCCCGCCCTGCTTACCTGAAGGCGAGGTGCAGGCAGGGAGCCCGGAATCCAAGGGGGAAAGCCCGATCGTTGACGGCGCAGAGGCGGCCGTCGCCATCTTGATAGCCCCCCACCTCAGTTCCCTTTCAATCGAGCTCGCCTTCTTCTTGGAATCGAATCTTTCCAATGTCTCTTCACTGAAACTGCGTTCTATGAGCCACCTCCCCGCCCCCTCCTGGGGCCTCTTTCAGACACGTCGGGCCGGCTCAGGGACCAGTTCAGGACTACACCATCCGGCTGGCACGGGGGTAGAACTCTCGTCTCGCAACCACTCCGTGACTTTAACTGCTTTCCGCGGAACTCTTCCAGCTTTTCCCCTTTTCCGGCTCAAGCTGGCGCATTAGACCCCTCATAAGAACCAAACCACACATAAAGAAATACCAATGAGAGGAGATGTCTTGGGAGGAGCGAGTGCCCTTTTTACCCCTCCCCTCGGCCACAGTCTGTTTATGGCCCAATCACACCGCATCACTCCAGGGAAGTCCGGCCACTACGCATGCGCTCGACCTTCTCAGCGTCCCAACCCACTCAACGCGAGGGGCCGGTCCATGGATAAGCGAAGCCAATCTGAAAGCTAACATCAGTCACATGACCGGATTACCTCCCTCCCTGACGAATCCCAGGGTGGGATATTTACGCGCCCGGGTCGGCTGAACAACCGGGAGTCCTATGGTGGCTCGTTGGGTCAATTTAGATTCTGCTCTTTGAAAGAACTTGGTTTAGTTTTCTGCACGCTTAAGAATCGTCTATGGAGCCGACATTGACAAATTCGCAAATGAGGAAACAAATCTGGAGCAAAGCACTTGTATTAAGTCTGAGACATTAAATTGTCACAAAACATCACATCACCTATCAAAAAACAGCACAACCCACCAAGTATCCTTCTCAGCCTTCTTCCGGCTTTACTGCCTTGTTTATTATTTTAGTTTTAACGTACATGCATGCCTTTCCTTCGGAATGACATTTCACATATCTCATGTTTTTGCTTGCCTCAAGCATAATACTAGGCACAGTGACCGAGTTCAGTAAATATTTGATGAATGAGCGAAGCACTGTCAAAACCGAGGAGGGGTGGGCGAAACGGAAAAACAAAACACCAAACCCAACCAGGGAAGAGCATTAAACTTTATCACAACCCTCACCTTATCCAAACTATCAGTCTCCCAAATCTCGATTTTTCTATGATCCAGAGGTATAGAGAGAAAACATATGAATCTCCCCATTCCCATCGTCTAGCTTTATACTACGCACTCTAATTTTAACAAAGTATCATGGAGGTTCCGAACCTTGATGGAGATCGAGAGACTTTTTTGAACAAACTGTAAACTACTGGAAAACGGGAATTGTTTTGTTTAGTTTAGTTTTCTGTCTCCACCTCAGCTCTCACTGTGATTGTGTACATTGTAGGGGCCCAATAATTCCTTGGGGGACGTATAAATGAAGATAAATTGGTGGAGGAAATACCCTAGGTTTTATAGCCCTCTCATGATGTCCTAATTATTCCCCTTGAATATCTTCTGGTTCTTCAGATGGATTCTAGGATCTGAATATCTATAAAGACATTAATGTTTATTTATTCTCTTACCCTTCACCACAAAGATCTGTGGTAATTGCTTCCCTGCTGCCACCTACTGGATTATTCTTTTGCTGGATTACTGGAAGCAGAAATGATTGTCATTTGTAACTTCAGAACATTGGAATTGCATAGTATTTAAATTTACGGTACCTCTCCCATTAAGCACTAAACAGTTATGGGACTATGTGAGTAGCAAACTATGTAGCACGAGATTTGGTTCACAGGTGTTTGATAAATACTTAATGAAAAAAAATCTTCGTTTTCATACAAAGCATGATGCTACTACTATTTTCAAGGTTATATTAGCTATTAGTTGGAGAATAAAGCTGTTTCTGATTTAAAAAATTGGGAATAGATCAATAAAGCTTTGGCTTACCAAAACACAGGTCAAAGAAAAATATCTAATTTGTCACTTGGATGAAAGAATACATTTTATTTCAATCTTCCTCTGCTTGGCAGCTTCTTGGGGACCTTAACTTCTCTTAAAAGTACTGGAAAATATATAGAAAATTTTTACACATATACCACCTTGTATTAAGTCAATTTCTTGTCGTTTATATCCCTGTGAACTGCTTAGGAGAGAAAGAACATGTAACCTATTTTTACATCTCAAGTATGTAAAACAGTGTCTAGAATAGAATAGGTGCCAATACACATTTACTGGATATATGAAGACAAAATTTTAAAAAGCTGAGCAAGAGATAGTTTAAAGCAGACATCTCTCACTCACATCCCTCTGATAAATTTTGTCCCTGCTGCCATTCCCACTCTATCCCTTGGGTGACTTCTGAGTAATGGAGCCAATCCTCTCCAGTAACATTCTTCGCATAGCAAGACTGGGATGATGTGGCAGGGTGTGGAAGCAAGGGCAGGGCAGGGCAAGTTGGCTTGGTTCTTCTAAGGAAGTGGAAAAGGGAGTTCACCAATATATACTTTTGGGAAAGAAGGACATCAGACTAGAATATTTTAAAAAAACGAGGTGGCTGGCAAAAGCAAGTACAAGCAAGAATAAGAGAACAGGTACTCATTCGTCACTCATTAATTCAATAATTCAATATACATCATTTATCTGTAACTGTCCTGGGCACTATGAGTTTTTGTTGTTGTTGATGTTGTTGTTGTTTTTGCTGTTATGTGCCATCAAGTCGCTTGTGACTCATAGCAACCCTATGTACAGTAGCTCTGAATCTGGCTCAATCATGAGCCAGTCTTAGAGTTTCTGATACAACAAATAAAGATAAATTCCTTCACCCCCAAAAGATCACAAAGCAGTGAGGGAGAAAGACACACAAATCATTTCAATCAAAAATCTCATCATGGAATATGTGTAAGTGCTATGTTTTGACAGCCATATTTTCAAAATAAAAATGAGGACAGATACTTCCCAAAATGCCACAGATAATTGGAACTATTCCAGTGACTCTAGGAGACACTATTTCCATAGTTAAAGGAATAGTGCCTAGAAAGAGGAATAAATATGAAGAAAGATTTCACAGTCCTATAAAACAAGGATTTTGCCAGGTAGACAAAGACAGGGATTCACAGAAGAGGAAATATGGAAACATATCAGAGATTTCGACTTAGAGGAGTGATGCTGGAATAGGATAGATGTGGTCATATGGTAGAAGTATGATTAAAAAGGCAAGTAGGGGTATATATGAAGGATATGACAATAATAGACATCATCCACTACAACTATATTAAACGAGTAAAAATGATTCTTTTTTTAATCTTCACAATCTTAAAAGGAATAATTATTATTAGCTCAATTTTGCAATGCAGAAATGGAATCAGAGAAGACCTTAAAGCTCACATTTGATGCACGCCCATGTTTATTGCGGCTTTGTTCACAATAGCAAGGAGTTGGAAACAACCCAAGTAAGTGCCCATCAACAAACGAATGGATAGAGAAGCTGTGGTATATTAGCACAATGGAATACTACACTGCATTGAAAAACAAGGAACTCATACAATATTATTCAAAATGGGTGACATATCTCAGTCACAAAAGGACAAATACTGCATGGTGCCACTGTTGTAGAATGGGACTGACATCAAGGTTGGGGTAAGACTGAGAAAAACTGGATAAATGATGTATACTGCATTGAAACAGATGAGGGAGAGAACAATTTAAAAGCGATATATGATAGGGTATTATGGTTATCACAAGAGTCAAGAATTAAGGTTGCATAGTGGAGTGTACTTGGGGCATTGGTAGGAGTGCGGGGGGGGGATTGTATACCAATGAAAGATTTTTTTTTCTTTTACTTTTCAAAGAGAGGAGTGAACTTGGGGGGGAGGGCTGGGTAGGGAGAAAAGTGTAACAATGAATTGAATGGAAATCCAAAATTTCTGTAAATGTTCATTAAAATTAAGAAAATAAATTTTTTTAAAAAGCTCACATTTGAACCAATGTCTTTGTTGTTGTTAGGTGTCCCATTAAATAAACTATGACTCATAGAAACTCTTTGAGCCACAGATCAAAATTATGCCCTATCCAGCACCATCCTCACAATCTCTGCCATGCTCAGCCCATTGTTACAGCCTCTGTGTCATTCCATCTCCTTGAAGGTCTTCCTTTCTTATTCTGACCCTCCACTTTTCTAAGCATGATGTCTTCCCTCCTCCCCAAGTACTGGAGACCCGTGACAACAGGCCCAAAATATGTGAGGTAAAGTCTCACCATCATTGCCATTTAAGGACCATCTCTGTTGCATTTTCTTCAAGACAGATTTATTTGTTCTTTTGGTGTCCATTAATATTTAGATTCTTCTTTGATTTCCCTTATTCATTGTTCAGTTTTCTCATATATACAAAACAATTGAAAATAATATTGCTTAGATCAGTTGTACCTTAATTTTCAAACAGACCTCCTGGCTCCTTCACACATTAAAGAGTTTCTTCTACAACCAGGAAAGGATCAAATAGATGAATGGGACCTTCTAAGAATCAAATCCCTATGCACATCCAAAAACTTCTCCAACAGGGTAAAAACAGAAGCCACAGACTGGGGAAAAATATTTGGTAATGACATGTCAGATAAGGGACTTATATCAAGAATTTATAAAATACTCATGACTTTAAACTGTGCAGAACCCTATGTTGTGTTCGAATGACTGGTTCTTGGTCTATGTATGGGTTTTGAATGAGTACAATTAAGTGTTCTGTAATTCCTATTCTTCTCTATGTTACCCATTATTTATTTTTATCTATACAGGCAATATCATGGATATCACAAGCAAGCAACATTCTGCTGAAGATTATCCAAAAATGACTTGAGGCGCACATCAACAGAGAACTGCCGGAAGTGGTACTAAGGATATTGTAGCTAATGTTGGATAGATCTTGGCTGAAAGCAGGGAGTCCCAGAGGAATGTCTATGTTTCATTGATTATGCAAAGGCGTTTGACTGTGTGGATCATAACAAACTGTGGCTGACTCCAAGAAGAATGGGGCAAATGGTATTTCTATTTCCAACTTTTTTTTTTAATGGATCATTGTTTCTTTTTTTTATTTTATTTTATTTT